TCTGCTACCTTTCATTTAATTTGTAATTTGTATTTTTATTGTATATAAATTTATTTTTGTTTTTTTTTTAAAAAATGAATAAAGTTAAAAAAAAACTTGTTTAATATTTGCTGTAAAAATGTGGATTTTTTTGTAGGCTGCCTTTTTGGCAAAGAGGATCCATGACCTGAAGAAGCTTCAGTTCAGGTGAGTTATCAGGTGTTGTGGACAGATTATACCAGATTGTTTCAAACACAAAAAGGAAAAAAAGACTGCTTTGTATTGATGATATTACCATGACAAGTATCATTACAGATTTAAAGGTCATTGAAATACTTTATGATTTCTTTAAGAATGAATGATACACGATGGCCATGACAGATTTATACACAGTTTAATGAGTTGTACAAGGTTGTGGTGCTGCTCAAACGTTCGTATTGTTTCTGTTGTTCAACGTGTTATTGTGTGAAACAGGAGGCTGAACTCCATCGTTCAGGGCATCACCTGTAAGATGATGGATGAAGTTAACGGCACCGATGCACTCGACATGACCCAGGCCATAGCAGATAATCCAGACTGGCTTTCCAAAGCTCAGGTGAGTCTTTACTGTCTCTTAAATACGTAACGTCGTGCGTGCCCACAGATCATGAACATCCTGTGTTTTCAGGCTGGATGTGCTGCACGCAAACTGTTCCAGAGTCTGGAGCAAGTCAGACCTGATTATTTCAAAAAACTGACTGAGCAGGAGCTGACTGCCATTCCTGCACTGTTACTGATTCACCTGCCGTAAGAAAACTATTCTCTGAACAGCTATATAACCGTTTTATCCATGAATCCTTTAAAATCTGATGGTTCCTGTTGGGTGTGTCCCAGACCAGGGAAGCTGCAGGGTTTACCTGACTCTGTGTGCCAGGTGTTCCTCAACAAAATGGAAACAGCCAACCTGAGCTCCCTGCCTCTGCTGTCGCCGTCTCGTCGAGCACTGAGCCAGAGAGCTGTGCTGTGCCTGACTATAGTACGCACGCACACACACAAACACAGGTCATTAAGAGAGTAACACAACTACACAACTATCAAGACCTTCAACATGGCTGTGGACCAGGGGTGGTCCTGGTCCTGGAGGGCCGCAGCATGTTTCCTGCTCCAACACACCTGATTCAGTCCTGAACTACCTCTTCATGTTCTGCAGTATGGAGGACCGACACTGACATTATTAGAAATACATCAGAAAGAGATAAAGTTAGATAGATAAAATAGATAAAGTTCTCCTTTTTTAATTGAAGTGGTGCATTTTAAGTGTATTTATTTAGTGTTTCATTTATATAATTTTGCTTTTATCTGTAATGATGTCAGTGTTGGTCCTCCGTACTGCAGAAGCCTGATGATCATCAGATCAGGTGTGTTGGAGCAGAGGAACATGTGCAACATGCAGGGCTGCAGACCAGGAGTGACCATGTCTGGTTTAGACTTTCTGTAGCTCCAACCAAGTGATGCATAAACCCCTCCCCCTCCCCCCTCCCCCTCCCCCTCACAGCTGATTCGATGCTAAATGACTCAGCCACAGCTTGCTGTACCTTTCAGGGGAAGAATCTGTCTGATCTGAGCAGCGCAGACGTGTCGAGGCTCGGCCCACTCCTGTGTGAGGTGAAGCCCTCCGACCTGGCTCTGCTGGACCCTCAGGTGGTCCCGTTCAGCCTGCAGGCCATGGCGTCCTGCCGCCACGTTCCCCAACAAAACAGAGCGGACCTCGTTCAGCTGCTCGTCAAGACGTTCGGGTAGGTGTCACTTCCTGTTGGTGCAGGAGCTGCTTCAGAGGCTGACGCAGGTTCTTTACCTTCAGGAGCCCCTCTAACTGGACCGCTGACACCGTGGAGCTGCTGGGACCCCTGCTTCTCCTGGACGACAGTGCTGTGGCTGCTCTGCCCAACCAGGTGTGTTCCTGACTGTCCGTCTTCTTTACCTGCCTCTGCCTCCTGACCAGAAGCATGCTGACTGTTGCACGTGTCTCTGTCAGCCCTGGTTGAAGGACGTCCTGCTCTTCCTGAAGCCACGCCTCAGCAGCGCTTCAGACGCTTTCAGGAGGAAGTGTTTTGAGCTGTCCACCAACACCACCATAACCCCACCATCAAACCCAGCACGTAGAAGGAGAGCAGGTGAGGAGCACACCTGTTCCCTGCGTGACCCTCTACTCCTATAACTATTCTACTGCAGTAAAATATAAAGTTCAGGAGTTATTTAATGATAAAACACTGTTTATATTTTATAATGCAATAATTGTTCCACATTTGATTTATTGTGTAGAAGTCTGGAGAAATGCCTGTAAAATAATTTCTAATCCTATTTTTATTTTACAAAACAAGAATTATCTTTATTAAAATATTTCAATGTTAAATAAGAATTATCAACAGGAAGTATTATTATCACCCTTCTAATATATTGATCTACTACTAATACATCGATATATTCATCAGTTAAAATGATTAAAATTTAATGAGTTCATTGAGTATCATATTCTGCAGTTTTTATATAAAACTCATAAAAATGTGTTTCCTTCAAACGTCCAAACTAATTTTGTTAAAAGGGAAAGCTATTATAATCTGAAGGGACTAGAAATGTTTGTTAAACTGAAAATCTGAACAAATCTGAAGGACAGATGCACTTCAGTAAAAGATATAAAACTACAGAATAATCTGGAAAATGTGAGCCATCATATCGAAATGAGGATTAAGTCAAATTCAGTCAAAATGACCTAATTACATTTTCAGATTCTTGTCTTT